AAACTAATGAGTTTTTGATCGAATGATTGCTTATTTCTCTCGTTTCTGAGAGTGATCTTTTATTGTGTTTATTATCAATGAAATGATAATGATGTATTTGTGGCCATAATATGCGCTGTTCCCTTGTTGCCTAGGGAGTCATAAAAGACATTGAATTTTATTGATGATGGTGTTTACTGTATTGTTGGGTGACTTGATAGGAAATCCATGTTCGGGCTACTTGGTAGGTAATCCGAGCTCCAGCGACTTAGTAGACAATCTGGACGAGACGTACCAGATGTACATAGTCTCTCAAGCGTGAAGCGCAAAGGGCTGAAGTGCTTAAGCTTTACTGACGTTTTGGTAAGAAATCTGGGTTGGACATCCCGAATGTACATAGTCCCCCAAGTGTAAAACCCTTCTAAACCTCAAGGAATATTCGTAAATAATTCATACAATTAATAAGTATTCACCAAAAGGACGTCACATCTTCATATAAAACATCTTAATAAAACATTATGTCCCGTAACACGGGTTCTCAAAATCATTTAAGACAAATATGTCCTTAGTAACACCAATTCAATACTTCGAAACTTCGCAGCGGAATCATTAGTTCAAAATATCTTATTATAAATTCTTCATAAAATCTCATCATACTTCATGATTCATAAACAGAATTCAAAATAACCCCGTACCATGAAAGGTAACCCAACATCTTAGAAATAAAACAAAGGACATAAGATTCATGATTCAGACGATCCCAACTCCGATGTTACATATCAGAGCAAGACCTACTTTATTCTACAAAAAACAAATAAACACACTCCGAAGCTATCCTCTAATGCTTCGACGACTACTCTTGATCACCTGCGCGTTACCCACGTGGAAGCAACATTCAAGCATAAAGGGTGAGTAAATCATGATAATTTAAAAAAAACATAATAAATATAATAGATATGCGCATATGTAAGACATCACACATCATCAGAACCTCATGTTATACTCACACTTTCACAACACCATCAATCCATAACATCATGTTATCAAAACACCATAGTTACAACAAGCATCAATAAATCACATCATTATGCAATGTCACTTATAATGAAATGCAACATCAACGATTCATGCATGTGGTACCGAAAATTCAATAATGACTCAGTCATCATTATCTTCGAAGATCCACACCATATGATCGATTCCCACTTGGAACCAGAGCACTTCACAATTTTGCACTCAATCCTCACAATGGGATTGATACGTCCACTGGACGATTGTCCTATCATCTTCACTGGACCGAAATCTGAATAACATCACTGGACTGAAGTCCTAACTATGCCATGAATGTATGATGCACAATAACATAATAAATACGACCGCGGCTAGTCAAAATGCATCATTATTCATGTTTTCATCACAACATCATTATATCATCATAATAAACAGAAGACCATCGTAACATCTTCATGTCGGCATAAGAAACAAACATCATCATCATATCTTCATAATAAACAACACACCATCATAATATCATCATATCATCTTAAATAAACAAAACATTATTGCTGGCGAAAGCAAAAAAGTCTTAGTGGAGAGGCTCAAAATGTCAGGAAGAGTAACCCGTCATGGATCTTGGTCTGGACTCAAAAAAGAAAAAGACCGGAGTGGACGAGGTTTTTTTCCCAAAGTGCGCCAATCTTCGCCGAAGCCCATGTTCGTCCTCCTTTGAATTGGAAAAAGATTGACCAGGGAAAAGCCTCATCCACTGATCTTTCAAAAATGAGTCAGGATGACGAGTTTGAGCGTTTTCTTGGCGATTTGACTTCTAGTGTCGTGGTTGGGGAATTCACTTCTCACCCCCAGAGTTTAAGTTTTTTGACTCCTCTTTTGACGACTTACATTTTCTGTATGATCATCTAAATGCAGAGGGGGTATTAAGAAGGTTAAGTCGACGGGTGATCAATAGTTGATTTAGAACATCGACACTCACTTGATGAAAACTATTATGCTGTGTAAAGCCATTTTCAAGATCGTCGACTCTTCTGCGAGAAATGAGGTCGAGTTGAAAAGAAAGTTTAAGGAACTTCAGGAGTATCATGAGTTTAAAGATGCTTTGGAGGCCTCGTCCAATAAGCGTATAACTTCTCTCGAGAAAGAATTGGAAGATCTCAAAGCAGCCAAAAAGGTCTCTGACTCTGACCATAACGAACTCCATGAAAAATTATCAGAGTTTGAAAAGGCTACAAGACGATTTGAGGGCCCAACTCTCGTAGCGAGAAATATTTACTGAAAACCTAAATGCAAAGCTTAAGGCTACGATAATGAAGAATATTTTAACTGACGATCAAGGCTTTTGAAAACTTAAATAGAAAACTTGGTCCAAAAAGAATTAAACCCATAACCTTTGCGATTACAAAGGATGGTCTTTCCACTAGGCCAACCATTCTATTGGATTAATACATTGCAACAATAATATATTACATAAATGCTTCAATGTTCAATAAAATGGCCTAATATTTTAACTATTAATAATTGATTAGTTTATTAAAAATTAAATAATTATTAAATATAGTTGAAATTTTAAATAATTTATTTTTTAGTTGAAATATTAAATAGTTGCAACATTTAATAAACAAATTATTTAATAAATTAAATAATTGAAATAAAATATTTAATAAATTAAATAATTTACTTATGATTAAAATATTAAATATTTAAAATAAAATGTTAATATTAATATTTATTTAAATAATTAAAATAAACTATTTAATAAACTAAATAATTTACTGTTTGAAATATTAAATAGTTGAAATATTAAAAAGCCTAATTATTTAATAAAATAAATACTTAAATTTTATTTATTAAAGTAATTTTTATTTGATATTATTTCATACTGTTTAATAATAATTGTATATTAAATTCAAATTTTATTAATATTTAAAAAAATATTAATATTATTAAATTGATTATTAAATATTTCAAATATTATATATTAAATAATTATTTCATAATATTTTAACAAAAATTTGAACTATTAATATTTGAAATATTAATATTTTAATTATTAATATTTGAACTATTAATATATTAATTATTAAGTTTATTAGATATTTAAATTATTTAACATTTCAATGATTTAAAATTTCAAATATCAATATTTAATAATTTATTTAATATTTCAACTATTAATATTTAATATATCATTTAATATTTTAATTATTAATGATTTAATTGTTTATTTAATATTAAATATTTACTTTATCTTTTTTCAATTATTTAATTTAAACTATTAATATTTTAACTAATTAATTTATTAAATAACTATTTTATTAAATATTTCAACTATTTAATATTTTAATAATAATATTTCAATGGTTTAATTTATTAAATAATTTATTTATTAAAATTTTTAATTATTTAATATTTCAAAATAAATAAATTATTTATTTTATTAAATAGTTTATTTAAATTATTTAGTTTGTTAAATAATTTTTTTATTAAATATTTTAATTATTTAATGTTTTAATTATATGTAAATTATTTAAAGTTTTAACTATATTTAATAATAATTTAAGCTTTACTTAATAAATTAATTAATAATAATTGAAATATTAGATAATTTATTAAATACTAAAGCTTTTATATAATATATGTTATTGTTGCAATATATTGTAATAATCAAATAGAATTTAAATAATTGATATAATAGAAAGACAAGACAATCCTTCGTAATTACAAATATTACAAATAATTATAAATGATATTGATTTAATCTTTTTGGTGTGAAATTTTGAATGTCGACTATTTCAATAAAAATTTAATCATATTTTATTTTTCATTTGATTTTTATAAAATAATATAATGTTACTATTTAAAAACTAATATTAAATTTTTTATAGAGAGAATGTAAACATAAAACGTATATGTATTTATAAAAACAAATTTATTTAACCCTTTCATTTAAATTACGACTAGAATTTCAGTCAACAAAAAAGTAATGAGATATTTTCAATGACCAATGCTCTCGTTAATTTATATTTTTATACGCTCCACACCGGCTCATCCAGCTGCACCCCACTACACTGTGCTCGCTTACTTTACTTACACGCGCATCTCAAGCGCGTGTGTGCAGTGTGCATGAACGGGCCAAAGTAGAAGATATTTATTTATTACTACTACCTTAATTAATTTTGAAAGATAGATATAAATAAAGTGGGGCTTAAAAAATATTTCCTCGACAGTAACGTGTCTGCCATGTTGGCATTCACAAACAACCATCATCCAACGGTATCACTTGCGCCGAAACCATTCTCGCAATCCCAGCCGTTCATTACTACTTTATATTATTTCTTAGTATTTTATTGACTGAATTATAATATTTTTATTTAAAATAGTATTTTATTATTTTTATAATAAATTATTTTTACACCACCACTTAATAGAATCATAACATTTTATTATATCATATAAATATTTTAAAATTAAAATTATAACTTAATTAAATATATGTTTCTGATTAATTAACAATTATACACTATTAATATATGCTCTTTATATACTATCAATACATGCTCTTTTTTCTCATAGAATATTTGGTCAAGAAAATTAATAAAATGTAAACTTATTTTCCACAAAAAAATATTATATAAAGATTATTCGTTATCATATCTCAATCACCATGTAACTATTCAATTATTTATTAAATAAAAAATATTTTAATCATTTTTTTAAAACTTTTTCCCAAAAAAAAAAAAGAATTTTAAAAAAGGATTCAACCTTACGCGCCTTTTTTTAATTAAAAAAGAAAGATCAGATTATTAAATATTTAATCACGCATTTAATAATTCTCCTTATGAATAAAGCAACGTAATGAAACTAAAATAAAAAGGGAAGAAGTGTGCTCCTTTCACAAAATTAAGAACCACCGTGGACGTTGATTTTCCGGCAACACCTCGCCGTTTTCTGTTACGAATTGATTCTCCGGTGAGTTTCGATTACATGATAGAAGAAACCAGAAGCTCATGGATAGAACCAGAGAGTCTAGAAGATCGTCTACCAACGGATTTCCAAAGCTCAAACATCGGAATATTGCTCTCAGAGATTCTTCCGGTATTCGAGCGATTCGTTTCGCTTATTCTGCTTTATCTTTACGGCTGTTTGTGTTGTTTTATACGGTTGATTGACGATGAATTTTTCATTCATGACAGAGGATGGAGCGGTGGTGGAGTTGAGGGAAGTTCCGAGTAAGAGAGGAAGGAATCGTGATAAGGATAGGGATAGGGATTCTTCGAATATGAGTAAGAGGAGGAGAGGCTCTCACTGTCAAATAGACGAAGATGAACACGGCACTGAAGAGAGCATCGGAAATGAACAAGATAGTAATTATCGAGACGGTGGTTTATCCCGGATCCGTTTCCCGACGGCGTTGGTCTCCGATCAAAATCATCGTCGGAACTCCATGCCGGAAAATCCGCAGGTGTTTCAGAGAACCGACGAGATGATCGGTGTTGTAGTTCCGAGGAAAGCTCGTTCAGGTTGATACGATTCAAATACAAATGCGATTTTTTGGTATCACTCATTTTTTTCCACTTGATTTTTGTTCTTATTTTACTTTTTGTTTTTGACGTGTTTCCGCAGCTTCTGTGAAAAAGTCACACGAAAAGTGGATCACTGCACGCGGCGGTGGGGAGGAGTATAGTTTTCGGCGGCAGCCTAATTCTCCGGGAGGAGCAGAACTCTTGCCGACCACGGCCTTGCCTTCTTTGAATGTTTCTTCTAAGCAGAAGATGGTATGTTCAAGTTTTTATTCCTGTTTTGTTTTTCAATATGTTTGAATTAAAATTTGAGGAGTTTTCAATTTTCATGTGTATTTTTTGTTGTAGAAAGCGATTGGAGATATTGCTAAAACATCGAAGCCGTCTTCATCTGACATGGAGATTGAGATAGCTGAGCTTCTATATGGTTTGATGACTTCCAAGAACCATGAGTCTTCATCGCAAAAGGTTGAAGCAACCATCAATCACAACACCTCTATTGATGTTGGTAGGTTGGAGTTTTTGGAGATATTCTATTTGTTATTTATGTGTGTGTGTGTGTGTGTGTTTGACTGATTTCAATGGCAATTTTTTCTTTTTTTATCATCAGAGAAGAAGAAATCGGAAGACTGCAGTTCAACTGAAGAGTCGATCAGGATTCAGAGGGATCAACCTGCTGATGTGGACTGTCATGATGATAATGCTACTTGTCATGAGAATGAATCAGAGGTTCAAAGAGAGGACATTGGGGAAGACAAAGTTTATTTGGGTGCTGGAATTGGTGGTGCTTCAGCAGATGGAAAACCTTTATCCACCACATGGGGGTCACAATCATGTCCAAAGTTAGATGCTGATAAACAGGGTTCAGGATCAACTAGAGTGTGAGCACCAATGAATAACAGTTATTTCTCTCTCTTTCTCTTGAATACTTACAGGATACCTGATCAACGGTCTTATTTCTGTGGCCTAATTTATCAGGATGCCTTCTGCTCTGGAGGATAATACTCAAAGAGTATGCAAGTTTGAGATAGATTTGATGGTGAGGATTTTCTTATTCGTATTCTATATATATTTCATTTGCTTATTACTTTCAAATAGCTGAAGAAGAGTACCATTTTTAGCAGGCTCCTCCTCCTCCTATGTTGCTGTCCCGAGAAGGGAATCATTTGTCACCAAGCAGTTTCACATCAGAAATTAAAAAGTTGGCACCGGATTTGGAAATGGTGAGTTGGTTGACTATAGATCTTGAAATATTTTTCTCTCATTTTTCTGTACTCCAAGTCTCCAACAGTCCAACTTACAACAACTTCTGACGCAGATGAGCGAAGATAGTATCAAGGTTAAAGACAAGGTGGAAAGACTAGTTACAGTAGAGAAAGTACCCGAAGAAATTGAAGGAGCAGCAAAGATGGACGTGTTTAAGAAAAAGTTGGATGTGTTAAAACGTTGTATGGTGAAGCCAAACAATGACAATGAGATAAAGACAAACAATAAATTAGAAGAGCATGATAGAAATAAGGAACATCTTACTGCATTGTCAAATCCCAAAGTGGAAAAAATTGGTAACTACTTTGATTTTTTAATATACAGGATGGAGTGTCAACTTGACTCATTTTTGAAGTCTAACGTTTCTTTCGTTATTCAGCTCATTCTAGTACAGTGCCTCTATCAGCCGCTGTATCAGGACCGCCGGGCAGTCTCTCTCCAATTGTGAAGACAGATAAAACCACTGGATCATCAACAGCACAGGTTTTATAACTTCTCACAAATTTTGCTCTTTTAGTTGTAATTATTCGAGTACTTTCTTTATTCTGTCACCAGTACTGATATACTAGCACCCTAATTCAAACATGTAATGGTATGGTTAACAACTCCTTTATAATTCAAACATGCAGCATGTTAATTCCGTTTTCTCTCAACCACAACGAAAGAGATGTGCAACCCATTATCACATTGCTCTTAACATCTTACACAAGCAGTTCACAAAGACAAACCCCCTTCTGTCAGCAGGCTCTGGTTCAATTTGTGGCACAAAAACGAACAATGTCAACTGTCTTCTCTCGGCAGAAAGTATGGTTGTTAGCAAGCAATCTCAGAAACACTTGCCAGGTTTAAACCAAAATTGTGCACGAGAGAAAGGGTTGGCTGTCACAGGTGATCATAATCTCAGAGCTACTAAAAGTTCTAATAATGCCAATCCAGTAGATTCGACACATCAGATGCAGTTTGTGCTACAAGGCCAACACCAACAAGGTCAACACCCCGGATCAACTGGGAATCTAGTGGTATGCTCTTGTGACTCTTGTCATTTTACTGGTTCTATACAGTTGAAAAATAGGGTGTTGTCCATTTTACTTGTGCTCAGATGGGTCTTTTTCTAAAGTAATGATTTGTAATTTTGAATGTAGCATGGTCCTGCATTCATATTTTCACCGGCCCATTATCAAGCATCAGTTGCAGGAGCTTCTAATCAGGTGGGAGGTGCGAATTCTCCTAACAATGCTTCCTCATCTAATAGGTCCCGGCATTCAATTGCCGAATCTCCCTGTACATCCTCAACTTTGCCAGCAGCTGCTTCTGCAATGAGCTTTAGCTACCCTCATTTTTCAGCTAATAATCCTTCTTATGCGACTATAGTTCACAATAACGGGTATTCATTCCCCATTTCGACCACTTCTCTTGGAGCAACTGCAGCAATCAGAGGTGCAAGCCCTTCACAAACAACACATTTAATAGGCGGGTCTCTGTACTCTTCTCAAACATTTCATCCTTTTCAGGATCCACAACAGCACCCTCACTCACAAGCACTAGTACAACCAAGTTATCTTGCTGCGCAGACATCATGTAGTTCATCATCTCATATGCAGTCACATCGTGCGCATGTAAATGGTAGTAATATCTTGACCTCTACAGCTGCAGAACGACAGTCACAAAAACAACAGACTCCACAGTCACATCCTCACAAGCAAGAGACTGAGGTGAGTGGAAATAATGTACAGTCTTTTGCTAATCATGCATCTTACCCAATAAAGAATTCGCAAGGGCAGAACTTCACGATTCCAGTTCAGTCAGTGAACTTTTCTTTCAAGCCAAGTGCAACATCCGATATTGTTGGTGGCAACATTAAGCAGCAACAGGCTTTAAATGGGGGAGTTGAGGTTATACCATCTCAAGCATTTGCAGTATCGTTTGCTTCATTTAACGGAACAAGTCTTCCATCAAACCTTAATTTCTCATCCATGAAACAGAATCCACTGGTAATTCAAAGTCTGCCTGATGTTGCACGCCAAGGATATCAAGCTGCAAGTACACCTCAAACTGTTCAGCAGAAGACTTACTCAATTACTGTGGAGAAGAGAGGAGGAAATTCCTCCCACCAAGATGATGAAAAAAAAACCACTCATAGTAAGTCATCAACTAATGTGCCAACAACCCTTGTTTTTGATAATTCGTCAAAGAATATTAACTTTGTGCTATCTCCTTCAAATGGAAACCGGCCTAGTCACTCCATTGCTTCAAATGTGATAACAACCATGCCTTTTTCCAGTAATACTTCAAGTTCTCAACAGTCTTCGCAATTGCTTCAGAAGCAGCATGGTATGCAACAACAGCAACCTGCAACGGCTATTCGAAATAAAGCTTCATCCACCAATACTGGTTCTGCTACAAAATTTGCTAACAATGGCCCTGTTTTCTCACAAAGTCACACTCAATTCAAAAGTTCTAACCAAACTTCTCACTCTAAGATCACGGGAAGAACAGTGGGTTCTCATGCTAATCATTCATCTAGTATAACATCCAAGACTCCAATCGCCAAAAATATTTCTCAGGAGAAAGGAAGAGGGTCACAGGGTCATATGCAAATTTCTTTTGGAGGAGATTACACAACTTCTCTATCATCCCAAGAGCGACAGCAACTCAATAACAGCCAGTCAATGTGTACAACAGCTGCAGGTACTCCTTTTAATGAGAGCCACTTGAAACCAAATTCGGAAAGTTGGAAAGTCAATTCATCGGTGAACACTTCACAGTTGCAACAAACTGAGAATTCTTCTGCTGGGAGTAGCCAAAAATCTTCCCCAGTTTGTGGGAGAAATGTTCCATCAATCTTAAGCTCGTGTCCCAGCCACTTATCTGAGCTGAAGTAAAGTATTAGAAATAAAATTGTATACTTTACCAAGGCCAAGGCAGGAAAAAATTCTCTCCAGTTCCACTCATAATCTTTTGTAATCAACATATGTTCTGGAGGGTGTTGCTGCTACTGCTTCATCTTCAAACCACAGCATTTGTGATGGTTCTCTACATTCATCTAAGTCACACGTAAATTTGAAGGAAAAGGTCATGTGTAAATTTATCAAAGTCCGTAAATTTGAAGGAAAAAGTCCATGTAGCTTATATCACACTCACGGAAGGTACAATGTTCTTGTTCTTTACTTAGACAACAATGATATATGAGAGGTCTAAGGGCAATGTTGATGTGGAATAGATGAATTTTATTGAGGTGATAGGATGGAAGTATGATACCACATTTGCTGGTGGAATTGACAAAGAAATAGTGGATATGAAAGGAAATTGGAGTCTATTGGGCCTGCAATTTTAAAAAAGTAGGGACCGCTCGTTATGTTGTCATATTTCTTGGTTGGCTACCCTGTGTTGTAGGATTCAACAGTCTCGCGGGGTCTAATTAATTTGACATAGAAAAGCAATTATACTAATATGTATATATTATTATTTTTATCTCCATACTTATAAGTTATATTAATTCATTAATGAAAAAGCTGCAATTATTTCTTTTACCAATTCTAAGATGACTTACATTTGGCTTCGACCCTGTCCAAGTCTCATGTGGTGTCTTTTCGACCATCTTCTTCATTGGGCATCTGTTTAGAATGTATATTGTTGTCGATGCTGCTTCAGCCCAAAAACTCTTAGGCATATTCTTAGCTTTCAACATACATCTGGTCATGTTCAGTACACTTCTATTCTTTCTCTCAGCGATACCATTATGCTGAGGCGTATATGATGCAACAATCTTATGCTATATACCTTCTGTTGTACTCCAATTTTTGCCCCTAAGATTCCTCATCACACTTTATATATTTCGCACATAGCATTGACCTCATGGTTATAAGATCGAAGCGCTTTGGCATTAGGGTTTCTCTCTCTGAATGAAGGCTGTCGTCTTGCTCAAAATTAATTCAACTGGCGCTCTCAGGTTTCCTCAAGATATAAATTTTTCTTCATTCAAGGTCCTTTCAAAGAACAAAGGTATTAAGGCCTAACTCATCCAGAGAATCAGGATTTCTCTTCATTTTGTTTGAGCTTGGTAGTGATTCTTTTGTAGAGATTTATTGAGTTAAAGTCTCACTTCAAGGCTACATTGAGCGCCACTCTTCCCTTACTGAAAGATTGCTTTGAGTTTTATCAAATTTAGATATGTATCATTGGATAAGCTATGGGTTAGGATCTCATTCAGCTCGTTTCATCAAATGGAGGTTGGTAGCTTCTAATGCAAGGTGACTAGAATCTGTGGATTTAATGGAGAGTGAGGTATATAACCTTCATTAGGTCATCTGACGCATCATGCATTATTAGTCAATAGTTTGGCTTGAGATTAAGGATTTCGAGGAATTAGGTTTGTTGAATGGCTTTGAGGCTCTTATCTTTGCATAAGCTTGTTTCAGTTGATTTCTCCATCAATCATTTGTTCAAACTAGGACTTTACTTCCTGGACTTCTTTACCATCAAACTACAGGGACATTCTCTCTCCTCGATATTAGGTTGCAATCTTTCTTCAATGCTTAAGAATTAGGGTTTTCTTCTGTTATGCTTCAACTGGGGATCATTGGATTAGGGCTCGATCTTGTGGTTATCTTGAGCTTCTCCTTCTTCAGCATTGTGGACTTGTTTTGAGTGATACAATTTTGGTTCTCATCAAGTACTTGTTACTTCGGTTGCAAGTTAACTTGGGCTATTGAGAGAAATGACTAGTGATTTGAATTCGTTGAAACTTCTAATCGTGCTCAGAGTTAATATTGATTCAAGGGCTTATTAAGTTCATGACTTTGTTAACGGTTGATTCAAGATAGGGTCAGGAGCTTATTTAGCTCATTTTATCAAATGAAAGGTGGTTGTTTCAAATGCAAGATGACTAGAATTTATGGATTCAATTGAGATTAAGGTTCATTGACCAAGCATGCCATTTGAAGCCAACTGAGTTTCGACTTGTCATGAACGCTTGAGTTGCATTAAGGATAGATTTAAGATGAACATGGAATAGAAGTTTTTGATGTAATTCAAGGATAAGTCATTTAACTTGCTTAAAGAACAAGATATATGCGAGAGATGTTACAGGACTTGTGGATAATTTTCCTGGTTTTCTTGTACTCATAATATAAGTAATTCATCAATTGGCTTTGCTTATAATTTGGATTATGATTGAGATACAAAAATAAGATTTTGAACTTGAGGTTAAAGAAGGGATCGCGATTCATTCAAGATACATTTTGAGAAGATGTAAGCATAAGAGAATAAATTCAAAGACAAGTGAATTAATTCAAAGTCTCTTTTCTTGATTCAACCATGGCTATTACAAAATCAAGAACTAGAACATATACACTTTCAACCATTCAAAATTACATAAAAGTGACAATTTCAATCCAACTTATGAATATATTACATCAAATTCCATAAACCAAAATTCAATTACATCCAAAAACCAGCCACATCACCCGATGTCACTTTTTTTTGAGGATTCCACATTCTTCATTGCTACCAATAACCTTTTGGATACACCAAACCCTCAATTTGAGCAATATGGTACTTGTAGCCCACAATATCAACAACCTCTAATCTCAAGGGATGATGGTGTTGACTACCTTCTTGGATTACTTGACATGCAAGAACCAAATGTACAAGATGACTCTATCAAAGATTTAATTGAGGGTGAAATGTATATTCCAGAAGTTGGTCAGATTGAAGCAAACACTCAAGTGCCAGATTGTGATTACAATAACTTAATTACTACAACACAATCTTTTATTCCTTTACCACAATCTACCACTCACACTAGTAATTATAAAATGAAAACTTTTGATCCACTTGCTTATGAAAATAATCCTTATGAACCAATTGTTGCCACTTACACAAATCAAACATGGAACAATCTTCCCAGTTCTACTCTAATGGATACCAATCCAATTCAGACAGGGAATGACGAGCTTGTGCTTATTAGACACAATATATGGATGGGTCTTCTAGACTATGGGAAGACCACTTATACTTCTAACATCACTTCCTCCCGTTCTTTAAAATCTGGTGAGAGGAATGCAATTCCAGCCTCAAATCATTACAAAGGCATATAAAGTGAAATGACGTTTTCTGGAAGGAATCGTGAACTGCCGGGCTGCACTTCTTCTTTGCATCTTTCTAAAAACCACCTATGGCAGGTCCCCGCATCAATGGAAAGACATTTGGGGCCATCTGATAGCGAAGTTCCGTCTACAAAAGATTTCGCTAGGTTTTTAGTTAACATTACGGGTGACGATTTCTGTCGGAGTACCCTCAAAATGAAGAGTGAACGATTGGATCCTTCAAACAAGAAAAAAAAGAGGAAAGGTAAGATTGATCTAGTTGCTTCTTGTTCAAAACATGAAAAGGAAGAGGAAAGTGCTGATTTATGTCCGAATACCCTCAAAAAGAAGAGGACTTCCTGCTCTAATTGGTCGACATCGACCATTTCCCGTCACTCGTCAAGCTGCGGAGAGGTGGTTACATCACATGCAACAAGCATTGGACACTACTCCAGATATAGATGATGACTCAAAGATTAAAATGATGAACTTCTTCAGGCACACTGCTTACTTTTTGGTGGCCGATGATGAGCTAAAGAATCCAAACCAACAGATATCGTACAAACTGTGATATAGCCCTGCATTAGAAAATCAGAAGATATAAAAGGAAATGTCAGAAAGCAGAAAAGGGAAAAATGAACTAACTGAATCACAACTGTTTCCTAACAGCCCTGTAACCATCTCCTAACAACCCTGTAACCATCTCCTAACAACCTATGACCTCCATAACATAATACTCTAACAGAATTTCTAACCTCTCATTAACCACCTCTAACTAACCTAACCGTTTTTGACCCTCAAAACAAACTGAGCATAACAGAATTTAACAGATATAACTAACCTCTCATCTTACCCTTCATTTGGCAACCAAATTCCTTAATTTAAAGGCTAAGATTCCTCCACTCCTAACTAACTCTCACCCTCTCAACCATCAAAAACCAGTTTTCTAACTGCCCTGCATAACCAGAAATCTCAAAAAAACTTCCAGCTAATCATTCTCAACCAACTTCCTAACAGAACCTAGAACAGACTTTCTGATATAACAGTTTGGAAAAATAGAGAAAGGGGGAAAGATTCATGATTTTGATAACAAAAAAAGACACAGCAGATAAAAGGGGGGACTCACCAGAAACAAACTCTGGAGAATCACCAGAAAATCTCTCTCTCTCTCTCTCTCTCTCTCTCTCTCTCTCTCTCTCTCTCTCTCTCTCTCTCTCTCTCTCTCTCTCTCTCTCTCTCTCTCTCTCTCTCTCTCTCTCTCTCTCTCCATAACCACCGCGACAATACTAAATCGTAACCTTATGCATCATCTTCTCCATTTCAACCTTCATCAACTAGCTTCACTCTCTTCACAAGGCATCATCATCAAGCATAACCACATCTTCTCTCTATTCTTTCTCTTCTTAACCGTCACCTTTAACCTTCTTGAATCATCTTCAAGCAATTGCACTCCTTCTGCTCCCCTCTCTCTCAAACCTCCATTCACGATTTGTTTCTAAAAAATACTCCAGAAAAATCTCTGCTCTCTCTTCATCCTTCAGAATTTTTCACCAACTCATAACAACACGGCTAAACTCTCGTTGAAAGTCTCTGCAAGATTCATCTTCTACAACCAATTCTTCCAACTGCTCCAATTTGCAAATTGCATCGCTATTGGATTTCCTGCGATTGATAACATTATCAATTCTGCATCATGCGTTGAATGCAACAACAATTCACAGAGGCAAAAATACAGAAACAACATAAATCATTTTGAATCGCTACGAAAGCACAGAAAGTGGAACTATGGATGTGGAGAAGAAGAAGAATAGAGCGAAGAATGTACCTCTAAATTTCTCAGCGTCGCCATTGAAGACGCACCAGACCGGTATCCGGTAGGTAACATCTCTCAATCTATTACTTTAGCATATTGTGATACGGTGGGAGAACTGACTTGAGGTTTTGCGTTTGTGTTCGCAAATGTTTCAGTTTAGCAAGAGTCGCCACCGACTTTTTATTTTATCCAAAGGAAAGGTCAAAAAGCATAGGAAAGACCTTTGAGATGTTTTCTTGGGTTCAGGGGGTAGATTATGAAAAGGGAAGGTGCTAGCACCCTTTTCATCCATGGTTTTCCATGGGCTCTTAGTTACTTGTTTAGATCACTTGCTTTGCTTTTTCAATTATTTGAAATGGTGCTTTATGTGGTTTTGAAAGTATTTTGAAAAGAGGCATTTGTTTAGGCAATCTTTGTAATGATTCTTGTTTGGAGAATGTATACAAAGATGTATTGTCTTTTGAAAAATGTTTCAATGTTTGAAAGTTTGTTTGGAAACTTGTTTTGAAATTGTGTGTGTGTTTTTGAAATTAGCAAGGATGTTTGCAAATTGATCAAGTAACTAGGAGTTGTCTACCCTACTCAAAGATCTTTCCTACACATTTTTAACCCTTTGACATTGTTGTTTTACCATTGCATTTGGTAAACAACCTTGTGTTTGGATGTTAAACGGGACAGGCGTGGGTCATCGTATGACCATGATAACAATGTTTCCAAGTATCTTAACAAGTTTTTGAGGGTCTAGATCATTTTTATTTAGGAAACCAAGATAGCGTCATCAAGGGACTATGATCTTTTTGTTTTGTTTGATTTTTCCAAGATACCTAGCATGCATACCATGACCATGTTTTTTTAGGCAACAAGTAGATGAAACCCTAGGGGTGCTTGTGTGCATTGTGTTGTCCTTTTCCATGCATTTTTGTCTTGTGTTTAGTCATACTATTTGTTTTGATTTTTGGTTGTCATACAAACTCTAATTTACTAAGCATGCATATAAAAGCAATAAAATGCGAAAAGTAAATCTAAGACTATTACAACATTGATATGGGAAGGGGGGGGGGGGGGGGGGGGGGGGGGGGGGGGGGGTACAAGTTTGAATAAGGGGATATTGCACAAAATAAAGCCCTAAAACTATTACAACCATATTGAATTTATTTATACAAATAAATAAATGAATAATATTTAAATATGCAATTAAATATAAATATGCAAAAATGTTTTTTTTTTTGTATTATTTTTATGTATGTAAAAATAAGTTTATTTAATGTCCTAAAAATAAGAGAAAATAAAAATGATTATTTTTGGAAAGGGTGGAAACCCTAATTTTTGTTTTAAAAGAAAATATATTTCTATTATTATTTTATTTCATTTATGTACAAAAAAATAAATAAAAATATATGCAAAAAATGTTAAAAAATAAAATATGTATGACAATATTATTTTTAAGTGTGTAAATAATAAAAATGAAAAATATAATATTTTTGTATTATTTATAAATTTATTTAAGAAAATAAAAGTATATATTATTTAATAAACTATTCTTATGCCAAAAAAAAAAAGTGAAAATATAAGAATATATTTTTGGTGATTTTTAATATTTAGAAAAAATAAATAAAAGTCAGAAATGTAAAAGAAATGAAAAAATAATACAAAATATAATAAATGGGCCAAGGGGGTGCAGAAAGCAAGCTAGGGGGTGTCAAAAGCAAGGCAAGGCAGACCCAGCCCTAGTTCTGCTTCATCCATGTCCTTGAGACAGAAACACGCGCGTGCCCTTGTTCAAACTGGAACTCCTGCATACGTGCTCAAAAACAAAATCTTGCAACATGAAAGTTATAGCTCATGATCACACGATTCTAACCATGTAAAAAACTTGATCTAACTCTAAGAAACCAGGGAGAATTTCAGTGCCCCTAATTTATGACCTAGTTTTTTCAGCAACTTCAACATCCAAATTCCCCTAGCTCAGTTAACATAAATGAATTCTATGCATATGTACAGTTCAAGGACATTAAGGGCTACATTTTTGCTTCACAAATCTAAGCCTAATGATTCCTAAATAAGGAGATAGAAGTTTGACAAATACCTGTTTCATCCAAGTTTGAATATGGCAATGTAGGAGTTTTGGATGAGGCCTGAAGGTCGTGTTAGCTTGCCTGAAGTTCACTCAACCTTTCCCAATGCTTGACTTGCCTTGAACTTGCCTGAATGTGCTTGTAGAACTCAACTTGCAAAGCTTCAAAGTAAAAATGGTGAAGTGTGAAAATGGAGTTACAGTGGCTGGACATGTACTTGGATAGCTTGGATGGGATGTATGCAATGTGTCTGAAGTGGTTTGGGACAAAACGCACGAGTGGAAATTGTTTTGGAAGTGAATCTGCAGAACTTGCCCTGTTTTTGCAAGAACTTGGTATTTTTGTGCTTAAGGGTGTTTGAGAGGCTATGAGCTCGTGTTTCTGGCCTTAGACAATATGTAAAACTTGTTTGAAATGAACACAAATCTTGCTCTTATCAGATTACAAAGTTGTGGAGTTTTTGCACACTTGCTTGTCTTTGAAGTAAAAGGTGAGTTGACAATGCCAAGGCCTGTACAGGCTAGCTCAAAACCTGCACATAGTTGGTACCAATTGCCTGATATTCATGGACTTTGTTTGCTGCAAAATATTGGGTCCTTGGCTCAAGATAAACAAAGTTGCTAAAAGTGATCTTTATCAAAGTAGCATTGTTATCTTTTTGCCATTTTTGGAATAGTTCTTTGTACAATGCTCTAAAGCTCAGAACAAAGCCTTAATCCAATGTGTTTGTATTTAATTTATGAGTGTAGAAAGGATTAGAACTTGTAAACCAAGTACAAGCATGATCCAAACTGATTTGCAAGTTGTAACATGGTGCAAAATGCCTTGGACAAAAGTGAGAAATGACCATTTTCATTCCTTCGATTCTCTATAACCACAAATGATCTTGGAGAGTTCTTGGACATTTTGGAAAGCTTGTAACATGCTATACAATACATATTTGAAATTCATTTTGAGATTCCAATTGGAACTATGTTAAAAATTGCCATGAAGATAGGTCAAAATCCTGCCTAAACTAGGGCAAAATTTCACTAAGTTAAAAGTTTCATGGACCCTTATTCACAAAATCATAACTTGAGATCCAAGAATATTTTTGGAAAACTTTGTGAATAAAAGTTGTAAATTTTGTGGAGGACTACAAATTTCATGTTGGAAGTTTTCTTTGAATCCAATTGCATCATGGAGAAAAAGTTGGGAAAAGTTGGGAAAAAATAAGAAATTTTCATAACTTAGAAAATTTCTAAGTTATGAAAATTTTCCATTTTAAACCCTAATTTCCAAAATTAGGTTTCTTGGTGAAAAAGTTTCATGTTTTGACACATCTTGATGAAAAATGACCCTTGACACTTGATTTTGACCAAAAAGTTAAAGTTTGACTTTTCACTGTACAGTTGATTTTTGATCAGTTGACTGGAAAATTCATCTGTCAATCCAATGCATTTGAGATCTTTTGAACCTTGTGATTAGGTCAAGATGATGCCATTGAGTCCTTGAAACTATGCTTGAACCCAATTTGCCATTGTCTAGGTTAAAAATCAGAAATTGCCCTTCTACAGTCAAAACCCTAAAAATGACCATTTTGCCCTTCTGATGATCTGATCAAATTTCTTGAGGAGTTGTGGTCCAAACTTGATCAAATGGTTCATATGAGTCTATAATTTTGATGTGGATAAAAAATTATGA